GATCACCTCACTCCTTGATAGGTCATGGGACATCATAACTAGTATTACTCATCATTCAATCATTTAAAAATCTGGAGCAAGGTCAGGACTTACCTTCCAAATGTAAAAATCAAATTGAAACTGGGAGAAAGAAAAAGGAAAATATTGGCTTGTATGAGAGAAAAATATAATCATAAATTTATATAAATGTGCATTTAGTAAGCTGTCAATTTAAATGTATGTTTAAGTAATTACTGTTCCTTTATTTTGGTAAAATAATTGTTATATTATAGTAAAAATTATATTAATCAGAAGTAGCATCATATTATCCCACTGTTGAAATTCTCTGCTATATCCTTTTCACAAATCAATATTAACATATCAGAAGAACAAAGAATGTTTGAGTTAAACTCTCTATATAAAGGTAATTCATATTCCTATAAAAAAGCAAGAATATTTTTAGAAAACAAACTTATGGTTACCAAAGGGGAGGAGGGGGGAAGGATGAATTAGGAGTTTGGGATGAACATATACACACACTACTATACATAAAATAAACAACAAGGACCTACTGTATAGCATAGGGAACTATATTAAACATCTTATAATGCCTATAATAGGAAAGAATCTGAAAAAGAATAGATAGATATATATGTATAACTGATTGACTTTGCTCTACACCTGAAACTAACACAACATTGTAAATCAACCATATGCCAATTTAAAAAAATAATAACAAATAAATAAGTAACCAGCAAGAATTTTTCCAGGATCCTGGTTTGGACAGGCTCCTAAGGTGGTGCTAGTGGTAAAGAACCCGCCCGCCAATGATGGAGATATAACAGACACACGTTTGTTCCCTGGGTCAGGAAGATCCCCTGCAGAAGTGCATGGCAACTCACTCCAGTAGTCTTGCCTGGAGAATCCCATGGATAGAGGAGCCTGGTGGGCTACAGTCCATAAGGTTGCAAAGAGGTGGACTCACTGAATTGACTTAGTACTAACATTTTAATGTGTGCTTCCATTCATACTGGACCTGCATAAGGGGAAATTTTTTCTGATGTCCATTCCTGTTACAGAGTTGCAGCTTAGAAGATAAAAGTTTCAGAATTAAACAAATATATATAGACTTGATGCACGGCAGCTGAGTGATGATATCTTGGGCAAGTTACTTCAAATTTTTACCTTAGCTTCTTAACTGCAAATGAAGTTGACAAGGTTGTATGGAAGATAAAATAAGATACTGTACAGTAAGTACTTGGCTCAGTATCTGATACCACCTGAACCTAATAAATTATGCCTGTTATTGTAGAAACACTGATAACCCAGGAGATCTCACACTGATGTGACACAAGCCTCTCATTAGCGTCTTATTAAAGAATTCTGCCTTCATTTTCCCATTAACACATTTTTTCCTGTGCTGTGAACACATTCTGATGTTCTTTTATGAAACTCATTTCATTGCCCTATATTATCTTCTTACTAATTATTCTCTAAAATACATGAGCAGTGATTTTTCTTTCACTAATGGATTTGTCTGGGGCTCTGCACTTTGTATTCATCTCAATTTTTTCCTTTTGTTCCTTTTCATTTCACCCCAGATAAAATGCAGATAGTCATGCCAACTTCTGTATAAAGTCTTATCTGACTAGCTCCATCATGTGTCTAGAATGAGTTTTACAATTTTGAAAGTTTTCACTTCATTGCTATTATGATCTCAAATAAGAATAAATATCTGGTAAGATATTACTGAGTCCTCTAAAAAAAAAAAAGGCATAAATGAAGGAAATTGGGAAACCTTTCATTTTAAAAAGTGAGGATTTTTTGGGAGGTGAAATTTGGCCAAAAATCTATGGTGACCATGAAAAGTCTGACATTTCATTTCAGACTTAACATCAGTTTATTTTATAATTAAGAGAACTGAAGCTCAGAGAAATTAAGATCTTACAGACAGTTGAGTGGAAAAGCCAGACTACAGATTCAAGTTTATGTGCATGAAATCTCATATTCTAAATACTGCCTAGACATAAGCATTAATCTATATACTTATATTTCAATCTGGAAAGAATGATATTACATAATCATGAAAAATGAACACAAGCAGGTATCTTCATCGAAGTTGCACCTACTAGAGCTGGGAATTCTTCTTGAAACTGGAAAGAGACTATTAGGGCAAATAAAAGTAAGCACTTAAAAAAAAATCTCAGGGACTTTTCTGGCAGTCCAGTGGTTGAGACTTCGCTTTTCAATGCAGGGGGTGCGGGTTCGATCCCTGGTCAGAGAGCTAAGACACTACATGACTTCTAGCCAAAACATAATACAGAAGCAATATTGTAACAAATTCAATAAGGACTTTAAAAAATGGTTTACATTAAAAAAAACACTTAAATGGTAACACAACTGAAAAACAGTTTCAGGGTAGTTTTAGATAACTCTAAGGCTGATAAGTTGGTGATGGATTCCTAATAAGCTCAAATTTCCCTTTTGGTAACCTCTGTTCATTAGTGTTGTTTTGTTTTGTTTTTTTCCTGCTCCACTTGGGGATCTTAGTTCCCGGACTAGGGATTGAACCTGGCCCTGCAATGAAAGCACCGAGCCCTAACCACTGGACTGCCAGGGAATTCCCTATTCATTAGTTCTTTTTTTTTTTTTTAAGGCTTTTAGAATGGCTTTATTTAAATATTATATGTAAATAACACATAAAGAGTAATATATGGATTGGTTGTATGAAAAGAAGGACTATTCATAGAAAATGAAAATTAAATTTAACAAAATATTCAAGTTGAAGTGAAATAGTTCATGTTTGGAATAAAAGTTTTAGTGTTCTTTTCTCTTTGAATTACTATACCCTGTTCATTAGTTTTTAAGATACTTGCTCATATTTTGAAGCTGACATGTCCCTGAGACATGGATTTACCTGAGAATAATGAATCATATCTGAATATACTTAGCCAATGATCACACCTGTACGGACCTAGTACATAATGAGTGCTCAGCAGATGCCTCATGGGTTTCCTGTCCAGTCTGTGCTACAGAATGCTTCCAGATCAATTATCTAACCTATAGCTTCAAATATGGTATTTCCTTGTACAAAACTACTTTTACTTCTTATTATATTTGTATCTTTCCTGTAATTATTTATTGTTTTAAAATTTATCTTTTGTCTCCCTCCTTCTAAAACTGTAAGCTTGATGAAGTCAGAGACCACTATATTCATAGTAGCCATGATTAGGTCATTCAATTACATCTATTTGCCTTCCTGTGTAGATGAGGACAAGAATTTGGTCAACATGATCTTTCAATTTTTAAGACAGAGATATAATTCACATACTATAAGGTTCACCCTTTTAAAATGCACAATTCAGTGGTTTGTATTGTAGTATATTCACAAAGTTGTGCAACCATCACCACCATCTCCAGAATATTTTCAATAAGGAAACACACAACTATTAGCAATTATTCCCACACACGACTGAGTGACTTTCACTCCACTTCACCTCTCTCCCCAGTCCCTGGAAATCATTGTTATCAATTTCTGCCTCTATGGATTTTCTAATTTCATATAAATGGAATCATATAATATGGCGTCTTTTTTCCTGGATTCTTTCACTTAATATTTTCAAGGTTCATGTTGTAGCACGTGTTAGTACTTCCTTTTTAATAGCTGAATAATATTCTATTCTGTGGATATACTACATTTCGTTTACCCATTCCAGACGAGGGGATTTTTAACATCCATTCCAACTCGAGGATCCTTTATTCAAGTGAAGGGTTACCACCAAAGTTCATGAAGCAAATCACAGTGAATCATTATGCTTGGTAGTTTTTCTGTGCCCTGAAGTTTTCAAATCTTACCTAACACAGATCCAGAGAGGACTGTCTTGTTATGACCCAGCATGTTTACTTCCTGAACCCTGAAAACAACATCAGGTTCTCTAATTTATTTCAGGATTCTGCTTCCCACCCCCACCCCAACCGTCTCCTCACTGCCCACCTGATTTCTTGATTGTAATGCAAATTATCCTCAGCAGATCTGTGCTGACTGAGATTGGGTGGGCGTTCTTCCCACGCCTCTATCCCCTGTCCTTGGGCTTAGAGCCTGTGCAGTTCTTCGCCATCAAAGACGCCCCCTCCTCTCCTCCCCCTTAAAAGCCTTCCTTTGTTTTCCAAGGAAATTCAGGTGAAAGAAAGGGTGGGGGAAACGATATTTTTGACTTTCCTCACAATCCAGACGTTGGAAAGAAAAAGGATTTCCTTTGGGCTGCTGCCACGACTCTGATCTTTTATGCTGATAAAATATTTCCTTCTTCTAAAAAAAAAAAGCTATGGGAAAAAATACACTTCAACTATACTTACTCTAACTTTAGCGTTAAAAAAAAAAAAAGTTTTCCAGTTTACTCTTCTTTCACAGAGCGGTTTTCTTCTTACCAGTTCAGGGATTGCGAGAGCCAGCGAGCCAAGTCAGCAGCGCTTTTTGGAGGCTGGCGTGGAGGAGGACTACAGGATCCAGAGGGCTTCGGAAACTCCAACAGCTCCAAGCTTGTTGGCTACTGCGGTTTCCCTGAGGAGTGACGCTGTGAAAACAAACCCTGATTGGTCAGGCCGGGGCTGAATTCTCCATTTATGGACAGATTGCCCTGCCCGAGCCGAGGCTCAGCCAGAGGAGTACGGAGAAAGTGGCCGAAGAAAGAGGAGCAAGGCAGGGCAGCTCGTGGGACGCGCGGAGAGCATTGCACTCACCTAGGCGGGGCGGCGAGCGCCGGGTCTGGGTGGACCCTGGTCCTCCACAGGATGCGCCCCGCCTGCTAAGCAGCCTCCTGCTCGCCTTCACCTACCGCCGCCGATCCCGCCTGGATGGAGTGCCCCCAGGGTTCCCATTGGTCCCTGTGAGTGCTTGGGTTGTCGAGAGCCTGTTTTTGGCGAAGGGAACCAACTTTTGAAGTTCGCCCAGGAGACTGCGTTCCAGCCCCAGCTCCCCGGCAGCCGGACCCGGCAGAGGCGCGACCGCGGCGCGAGTCACCATGGTGAGTTGGCCGCGCGGCGTCCCGGGACGCCGGACCCGGGGATGGGGCGGGAAGCCCGGGCGCGGGGCACCCACCTTGGGCGCGCTGCCGCGGCCGGGACTGGAGTAAGTGGACGCCGGAGTCGGCACGTCGCGAGTCCCGATTTCCTGCCGCTTTTCCTCCACCCGGACTGGGGGAGAGGGAGTGGGGGGCCAAGGAAAACTTTCTTTCAAGTCGCTTTCGGCGTCGCCAAACTTTTCGAGGCCGGTTGGCTATGGCTGCCAGCTGTCGGAAGCCGGGGAGATCCGCATTCAGGGGCACGGCCCCCCGGGAGGGGGTGGGCATCGCTTTCTCCAGGCTGGGAAGGTAGGAGCGGCCGCCCGCGGCACCGGCGCCACGGACCCCGCTCCTCCCCGGCCGCCCGGCAGCGCCGCAGTTGTCCCGCGGGCATCCGCGCGCCGGCGGGGGCGACGCGGCCGCACAAAGGCAGCGGGGCGCCAGGTAGGGCGATCACCTGGCGGTGGGCAGGCGGCTGCGGGCGAGGGTGCCTCGGGGCAGCCGAGAACCGCGCCGGCCCGGAGGGTCTTTGCATCAAAAAGGCCGAGTAAACACCACCCTCCCCTTTCTCCAAGTGCGAGGTGGCTGGCACTTTTCGGGTGTACAGCAGACCGTTTCGCAGGGGAGGAAGTCGAGTTTTTTGTTCTTCTTCCTTTGGTACTTGGGAAATTGATGGAAGTGGCTGGCTCTTTTTCTGACGCGTTTCTGACTTTTCCTCTACCCCCAACCTCCCGCTTCGACTACCCCGCCCCCCCCAACCTTAGCCACATCCCTTGGGCTTTGGCGTGGTGTGTACTTTCTTTCCAAAGCACAAAAGCAAGGGCTCTATTTTGAAGAGATTGGCAGTCCATCACAGGAGGGGAGGGGGGAAGTTCTACCCCAAGGCTTCATAGTTTCCACACTTGCTTCTTTTCAACTAATCCGACTTAGGACTTAGCTGGTCCTCTTCTCATGGTTGTTGTTTTTTTTTCTAAGTGACTGTGAAAGTGGCGCTAAGTAAAAATGATAACCCGTGCAGGACTAATTTAAAAATCTCTATCCTGCAGGAGCTGGGGGAAATTAGCGAAGGCGCATAGAAACTTACACACAAGTAAAAGGAGCACTTGATCCAGTGCTGTGTTTATTCACAAGAATGATTAAAAACAAACTCACAACAATCTTTAAAGGGGCACCCTTGACCAAAGCTTTTTTTTTTTTTTTTTTTCTTCACTTAGTCCAAAGTTGTATCACCCTTGTTTCTACCTAAGAGGATACTTTATCTGTAAATAAAAGTTCCCTTTCAGTTTTAGGGTTTAAGAAGTCAGCCCACCCCACATTATTTTTGGAACCTTTATAGAGAACCATTTACTTAAACTGTGTGTTAGGGTGGAGATACCTAAATTGGCCACAGCCTAATTGGCTACTTAAATTTAAAGAGTATGAGTCTTAGTACTTTAGAATTGCTATAATTATTTTCCATGGTTAAGTATTTCCAAAAAAAAAAAAAAAAGAGAGTGAGAAATCAATGTATTTTATGTCAAGAGCTTAAAGAATCTTACTGAATTTAAATAGTTGAGTGGTACCTTGAGAAAATTAACCTTACCTTAGTTGACTCGTTTTTCTGCTGTAGAGACTAAAAAGTACTGTGTGTGTGTGCTTAGTCACTCAACCATGTCCCACTCTTTGTGACCCCATGGACCACAGCTCGCACCCCAGGCTCCTATGTCCGTGGAATTCTCCAGGCAGGGATACTGGAGTGGGCAGCCAACCATTCCCTTCTTGAGGGGATCTTCCGGACCCAGGGGTTGAACCCAGGTCTTCTGCATTGCAGGTGGATTCTTTACTGTCCAAGTCACCTACTGTAGGATGCCTTTTCTAGGGACCTTGGAAACTGGTCGCTCAATTCAGTCCATTGCTGTTGAAGTAGGTGGATGGTGAAGTGGATGCAGAAGAAACACGTTCTAAGGAAGAGTTGTTTCCAGAGTGTGTAGAGTGTCGGTCGAAGGATGGGGTGTGACTTACCTGTTGATGGGTTCCCTGCCAACAGCACAGATGGCAGTACTGTAGGCCGCCAGGAGACTATCAGTGCATCAGATACGGTTGCTGAGGCCACGATGCCCTGACGGAAAAGTTGAAACAGCTGGCTGTCCTGAAATAGGAGCTGTGCCATCAGTCACTCCATCTACTGGATCTAGAATAACTTGGCAAAAATGAAATGAATCATTTCTTCACTGGCTTGCAAAATGAAGTCTGTGCACTAGATTTGTGAAGTTGCCTTAGAACAGAGCATAGGCAGCTTCGATAGTGAGAAACTTTAGTTATTATGTTTATGATTTATGTAAGACCCCCTTCCAGCTAAATGAGGCATTGATTTGTGTTTCACATCTGTCTGCCCAGCTGCATCCCTCAGCTGCTTAGAACAGGAAGAGAAGGGACATTGCCTCCAGTGGGTGTGGCTCAGTATTAGGGAGCCACCTGTACTGTGGATTTTCTCCCTCTCCCCCTCTCTCTCAGATATCTTAGGAAATCTGGTAGCACATTAGGAAGGCTCTCCACCTGTACCCAAGACCCTCCCAAGGCTCACTCAGTTGTGACTCATAGGGAGAGTGCCATTTTCTGACTCATGAACAAGGTATACAGCTTACAGTTTATCTCATATCTTCCTCCTGAAACCTCACTTTGGGACACTTTTCTCCATCTCTGGAGAACCAAGAACAGTACCGGGCAATAGCAAATTTGTTTCTTTTTTTTCTTAGGTGACTTGAATGGGGAAAAAGAAGAAAAACACCAAAAAATCTCTGCATGTCTCTCTATTTATTTTGTACACATTGGTTAAGAGGGCACAACAGTCTCCTTTGACTTTAATCAAAATACCCATCTAAGATTTCCTTTGTAGAATCTGGCTTTATCATCAGCCACAAAGGAAGTTCTGCTTTTGGACTGTCTAGTGAACTAGACCCATGTGTGTGCCTCTGCTGTGTACTTCAGAGCTAGAAGCTATATTCATAAGCCTTTTGTGACTTAGATATACTGACATATTTAAGTACATCTGAATTGGCCATCACCTCTGAATATGTTCAGGATACGTTCCCTTCTCTTTGCTTGCATATTGTGAATAAATTGCAGACATTATACATAAAAATACATAGGAATAGACTTATGAACCTTGAAATCTGATGGAGCTGACTACAATTTAGGTAAGTTCCTTTGAGTTCAGGCATGGCATGTTTGACATTTAAAAAGTCTGGAATCCATTCCAAACATGTTTTCTGGGAAGGTAACCTAGTCCATTCCCACTGATTAGTTTATCAGATTTCTTGTAGCCTCCCAGCCAAAGCAATACAACACACAAAAAAACAAAAATAGAAAGGAATGGAATGAAGCCCAGAAAAGTTGTGTTGGTTTTTTTTTTTTTGGCTGCACCATGCATCATGTAGGATCTTAGTTCCCTGACCAGGGATTGAACCAGCATCCCATGCAGTGGAAGTGTGGAGTCTTAACCACTGGATCACCAGGAAAGTCCCCAGAAAAGTTTTGATGGAGGTAGAGGGTTAGGGCAAGAGTGGATGCAGAGATTGTCTACAGGCTTCTGTGGATGGGCCTGCCTAGTAGGAAATGTTTGGCTGCCCAGTGGGGCTGTGGATGGAGGGGATGGAGAAGTGGAGGAAGCAGGCTGTTGCAGAAGCTGAAAGCCACTTCCTCCTTGGTTTTGCTGGGGATTTCAGCTTTGTCAGTGGATGCAAACTCAAATGTCTGCAGCGGCCAGGATATGGTTTTTGATGGGGTGAAACTGGCCTCTGGAGAGTAAATATAGAATGTATGCCCATTGGAAGAGGCATCATTACTTGATCCTAGGCTGTGCTTACATTGACCACATCACCAAATTGTCTGCTTTTTCAAGATAAGCTGAAAATCCAGATTTTTATGCCAAACCTGTCAGTTTTTAAAAGTGTGCTGATGGTTGCTGAGAGGCCAAACAGGTTAGCTGTTTGCAGCCACTCTGTCGTAAATCTCAAAGCAGTGTTCTTACAAACCACCATGCTTCCTTTCATTCACTTACCAGTGGGAATGTCTAAACTGTAGCCACATTCCCAATAAAGGCATTAGATTTTTACTGACACATCCGCAACTACCCACTCCATTTCCCTTAAGAGAGGGAATTTCCTGGTATTTTCAGCCCATGGACTCTCTCAGCTATCAGGCAAGGGAAATCTGCATTCAGCTGCAACCATTTGGAGCTAGCTAAAAACACCTGTGTAGAGCTATGAGTGGTGAGGCTGTAAGTTGTCTTAACACTTCAAATCCCTTCTCCGATGGAAAGGCACTACTATCTCCATACTATGTGATGGACCTCTTTTTATCACTTCTTTCCCTGTTGCATCTCATGAATTCAAGGTCTGTTTCAGGGATTCTTCTTGAGTGTGTGTGTATGCTCAGTCGCAGAGTGCGACCTTATGTACTGTAGCCTGCCAGGCTCCTCTGTCTATGGGATTCTCCAGGTGAGAATACTAGAATGGTTTGCCACTTCCTCCTCCAGGGGATCTTCTTGCCAGGGATGGAACCTGCATCTCCTGCTTTAGCATGTGGACTCTTTACCACTGAACCACATGGGAAGCCCAGGTTTCTCTTTGAGGCTAGATAATGAACATTTTCGTAAATATAACTTGGAATACAACCTTTTGCCCTTGACTTAATTTCACAAGCTCATGTGAGATGAAATTAAAGAGTACCTCGAATTTCCTGATGAGGAGAGGACTGAGTCTTATTACTTGGTAAGAACCTGAGAAAGGTCTTTTCATCAGCTTCAAAAAGCAGAAATATTTTGAAACATCTATACAAATGCAGAGCTTCATTGTGAACTTCATTAGGGATCATATAGAAATTATGTACAGTTGTAATTTTCCAATTTGACTCATCTACTGTTTTTTTTAACAAAGATACAGCAACTTGTGTCTTAATCAGTATGTGATTAAAATGAGTTTCTC